CCTCCAGCAACCCTCAGTTTGTTCTCTGTATTTGAGTCTCTTATCTTTTGTCCTCATTTTTATATTATTTTTGCTTCCCTTCCCTTATGTTCATCTGTTTTGCATCTTAAATTCCACATATGAGTGAAGTCATATGATATTTGTCTTTCTCTAATTTCGCTTAGCATAATATCCTCTAGTTCCATCCATGTTGTTGCAAATGGCAAGATTTCATTCTTTTTGATTAAAGCACGTTTCTAATCTTTTTGTCAAGAGGAAAATGTTTTGGTTCTTCATAACTCTTGAACAGTATACAAATTGCACTTCTAAAGTTTTTTTTTAAATGTTTATTTTTGAGAGAGAGAGAGTTTGAGCGGGAGAGGGACAGAGAGAGAAAAAGAGAGGAGGGGGGAGATATACAGATTCAGAAGCAGGATCCAGGCTCTGAGCTATTAACACAGAGTCCGACGCGGGGCTTGAACTCACGAACCGTGAGATCATGACCTGAGCCGAAGTTGGATGCTTAGCCAACTGAGCCACCCAGGTGTCCCTAAATTGCACCTTTTAAAATAAACTTTTCTGAAGGTATGTTTCACTTCAATAAAGTACACAAATTGTAAATGTTTAGGTGTAATGTATTTTCATAAAGTGAACATCTGTGTTACCCTATCTGGATCAAGAAATAGAATATTACCAAGCACCACAGAAGACCTTACTCCCAAAGGTAACCACTTGATTTCCAGCACAAATGATTAACCTTGCCTGTTTTTGAACTTTATATATAAACGGTTTCCTATAGTATGGATTTCTGCACAGCATTTGGTCTACGCGACTTACCTACCTGTGTCACTGCATCTAGAAGTTGTTCTGGTGCTGGATGGCGTGAGCATAGTACAGTGTATCCCTTCTGTTGATAAAAATTTGGATTGATTCCATGTTGAGGCAATTAAAAATAGCACTGTTTTAAACTTTCTTGGCCTTTGGCTGCACATGTGTACACACTTGGGTAAAATCCTAGGAGTAGAATTAACTGGGTTGAAAGGTATCCATTTTGCCAGTTTTTCAAAGTGACTATACCAATTTGTTCTTCCAAAAGCACAGTACCTGATTGATCAACATTACAAAAGATTTAGTTCCCATAATCTCCCTATCCCCTGCTACTTTGATACTTTAAATTATTTTTAGGGGCGCCTGGATGGCTCAGTTGGTCACGTGTCTGACTCGTGATTTCGGCTCAGGTCGTGATCTCACGGTTCCTGGGTTTGAGCCTTCTGTCAGCTCCACGTGGACAGCTGACAGTGGGAAGTCTGCTTGGTATTCTCTCCCTCTCTCTCTCTGCCCCTCCCCACGGGCACACATTTTCTCTCTCTCTCAAAATGCATAAACTTAAAAAAATTATTTTTAATTCTTCAGTTGGAAATACTATTGTAACTTGAAATAACAAGTCTCTGCTCTCCTATTAACTGGAAGGTAAACCTTTGTCCACTTGTGATAAGAGAAACACACTACTAGACAGCTACCCCTCAATTGTATTATTCAAAAAAAGGAAGATGCCCTCCTTCATACAGAGAGGAAATGTATAGAATTCAAATTTATGCCACATCATATGACCAAGTAGTGTTAAGGGGTGAGGGAGAATCCCATGAATGAATGGGGTTAACAATAGGATAGAAGAGAGAGTAAGGTAAATTTTACTGATTTGAGAATAAAATACTAGAATACTGCCTTCTCTCCCATGCCTACTGTCTATATTTGTTAGGGCAGGGATAGTTGCTTAAAACATTATTCTCAAAATTTCTGTGGCTTAATGTGAGAGAAATTTATTTTTATGCTCCTCTAATCCAGTGTGGGTGTTCTTTGTAAGAAGGGCAGCCTTCCCTTGTAAGTACATGGGACTTAGGGGCCTAGACTGTCACTTATTTCATCCTGTGGCTGTGCCATCTGTCAGGGCGTAGGAGACCTCTGCATTCAGCCAGAGTGGGGAAGAGATGATGGGGAAAGAACGTGTGCTTCTAAGAATAAAAGTCTTGTTGCAGAAGGGACAGTCTTTACTTGGTCTTATATTCTATTGGTGGGAACTTCACATGGGAGTTCCACTTACATATGGGGGCCTGGGCAACGTAGTCCCAGGCGGACATTTGTCCAGTAGTGCCAGCTCCACAGGATATTGGAGGAGCATGGGTGTTTGCTGGATAGCTGGTGAGCCATCTCTGCTGCACCATCTCATCAAGGATAAGACCAGGATAATTAATGGTCACTAACTTGGGAGAATTTCACTTCTAAGATGCTAATTATTTTAAGTAGTGAATTTTTATATGGAGCTAAGTTTAGATTTACAACTAAATGTCATTTCTCACTTCTTTTGGTACCACTTAGTTGTGTGATTTACTTTAACTTTAATTTTCTTATACTTTATAGTTACATCACCTGTCTATGAAACTTAGAAATTACCATGTTTATATCAGTTTTACAAATCAGTAAGAAACAAAAAAAGCTGTCAACCTATGGTATGTCGTTGGATGTAAACATTGATTACATTTGCTATAACCCCTCTTCCATCTTTTTTCCTCCTTCTGTCTAGTTTGTGATTGGCACAATGGAAGAAGCTGGAATGTGTGGGTTAGGGGTGAAAGCAGACATGTTGCGCAACTCTCAATCAAATGATATTCTTCAACATCAAGACTCAAATTGTGGTACGAGTAACAAGCATTCATTGGAAGAGGATGAAGGCAGTGATTTTATTACAAGGAACAGGAGTTTGATGAGCCCAGCATACTGTACACAAGAATCGAGGGAGGAAATTCCTGGGCGAGAGGCTCGAACAGATCCCCCTGACGGTCAGCAAGATTCAGAATGCAACAGAAACAAAGAGAAAACATTAGGTAATAATCTGTGCTCCGTGATTGGGCATTTTCACATGCTGCTCTTTTTACTTCTGCTTTCTTCAGTGCAGGTGATCTTGAACATGGCCGGTGTTGAGACACATGTTGTTTAGCTAACACAACTCTTGTCTGCAGTGGAGTCAGTCTGTATCTGCTGCCTTTTGTGTAGGAGACAAAGAGCAGGAAGTTGTTTTCCCTAAATAATCAAGAGTAGGCTTTCTTGACAAAATTTGGGGCCAACTTGACAGAAGTAGTATTTGACTTGCCTTTTTGCATCTGAAATGGAGTCTGACTGGAATTTACTGTGAAAACTGTATATTTATTTGATTTTTTTGAAAACTCCTAAAACTTTAGAGAAAACATAATGTCTGGAGTTCAGAAAGTGGGTTAAGACTGGCTTTTAAGGGTATGTTTTCTTTTTCCTGCTGTGTTTGAGATTGAGGGCTAAAAAGGTAATGCATCAAATCTTGTTAGGAAATCCAAAATCCCCTTTTATTTTAGCTTTACTTATTGCCCCTAAGTTTTTTTTTTTTT